TAGGAGTCAGAGGACAGACTGGGATACACAGTGTGCTCCAGGCCACACTGGCTTACAAAGTCAGACCCTCTAAAAAAAAAAAAAAAAAAAAAAAAAAAAAAAAAAAAACCCAAAACAAACAAGGCATACCCAGCACTTGAGAAGCAGAGACAGATGGATCTCTGTGAGCCTGGGGACAGCCTGGTCTACATAACAAGTTCCAGACCAGCAGGGCTACAGGGAGACAACTTTCAGTGAGTTGAAAGTCGATTATACATGAGACCCTGTGTATTATATCTGCATTATTTTCTTATATTATCAAAACAAACTAGAACGGGGGGGGGTTATGGACAAAATTTGAGAAAAGTTGTAGAATCTTTGAGATTTCTAGCAGTTTGGAATTCAGAACATCTAGCATTGAACACAGCATGTGCCTCTTCTCTGAGAGAGGGGATGCACAGCGCTAGTGCTCCTGAGGTCTTCAGTCCCTTCTCATGTCTCTGGACCATCTCTAGTTCTTATCCTGCACTATTTATATTTTTTATTTCATCTTTTATGACAAGTAGGGAAGTGAAGAGAGACAAAGTGAATCATAGAAAAAGGGGTTTAGAATAACCCAAGAGCTGATATCTTTGTCTATCTCAAAGAAAGCATCAGACTAATGGAGAGCAAAAGACAGAGGAGGCACAGGGAACGTGGAGAAGAGAAAGGGAGTGTCTGTTTGTTGGCAGTTGCTACTGTGCCATAAGATACATGTGGGTGATGAAGATGGGATAAAATAGAGCACTATCTAGAATGGGAGTTTCCTTTTGCAAATGCTGTAGGCCGGGAGAGGGTGCAGAGAGGCTCAGAAGGAAATCATCCTCTGTCAGTGTTTTGTCTGGAAGAGCCCTGCTCTCTGACCTCCTCTTACTGGGTTTCCATGTGATTTGCTCATTACCTGATGGCTTCTTTCCCCTGGAATTCTGGAGACACTGGTTCAAAAGAGTCATTCAGTGATGGATCAGAATCTATTTCATTCTCAAGAACCACATGATTAGCTCCTTGGTATTGAAACCAAAAAGAGGACTTCAGGAAAAATAAGGGAGAATGTTGATGTCCAAACTTAGCTACATGGGCAGGAGATAGATAAATGTCAGATCATATACCATTTCAAGGATTGCATTCAATTTAGGACAGCATGTCAGTGTAACCCCTCTGATTCTCACCTCAACCCACATTGTCACCTTAGATGTTAGCACTTAATGTGATTGTTTCTAGTATGTAGACATGTACTCTTGTAAGCTAAAGGAAAAATTCCTCAAAGCTGAGTGATTTTTTTTTCAAGAGGAATTTAAGTTTTAAATTAAGAAGAGCTTTCGCTTGTATTTGGCCAGATATAGGACTGTATTTCCCAGAGTTACAGGTTATATGAGAAACAGACCTTTATCATTATGCTGGCTGTATTTTATCAAGTTAATAAGTGAGTGATAAATGTATGGAAATCTGAAGGAGACAAAAAAATAAGTGTAATTTTTAAATATGAGAGAAATGGAACAAAGGGGAAAAGATGAGGACTTCTTTGTGGAAATTCTCATCAATATCAGTACAGGATCTTCCAATTCTTTTTCTAATCCCTTCCTGCTAAGATTAATGACAGAAAAAAAAAGTGGAATGAGCTATGGAAATGTTTACTAAATCAGAGTGATTGAGTACATTTCTGAACTTACTTTTGTATCTTATAATCTGATTATGCCAAACTGTTTTCATCATTTTTAAGGATAGAGAAACAATATAAAGACTGACCTTAAAAATCTGTTGTTCCTAACTATACTACAGAGCTATAGTGCTAAGAACAGTGTGGTCTTGGCATAGAAATAGACACATTGATCAATGGAACAGTATTGAGGACCCAAGCTTAAGTCCATGCACTCATGTTCACCTACTTTTTGAAAAAGAAGTAAAAAATACACGTTATAGAAAAGACAGCATGTTAAATAAATGGCACTAGTCAAACAGGATAGCTATATTCATAAGAATGAAACTCTATCCCTACCTCTTAGAATGCACAAAACTCAACTCCAAATAGATCAAGGACTTCAACATAAGACTTGATATCCTGAATCTAATAGAAGAGAAAGGAGGGAATATACCAGAACTTATAGGCACAGGAAAGGGTGTTCTGAGCAGTATCCTAGTAGTGCAGGCATTAAGACCAACAATTCATAGATGAGACCTCATGAAACACAAAAGCTTCTATATGGCAAAGGACACCATCATTTGAGTGAAGAGGAAGTCAAAAGAATGGGAAAATTTTTGCCATCTGTACATTCAACAGAGGATTTGTTTCTAGACTATACGAAGAACTAAAAAAGTTAAACATAAAAAACCCAATTAAAATTAGTGCAAGAAACTAAACAGTTCTCAAAAGATGAAACACAAATGACTGAGGGACATATATTTTAGTATTCAACATCTTTAGGGGTTGGAGAGATGGCTCAGTGGTTAAGAGCACTGACTGCTCTTGCAGAGGACCCAGATTCAATTCCCAGCACCCACATGGCAGCTATGAACCATCCTTAACTCCAGTCCCAGGGGAATCCAAAGCTGTCTTCTGAACTCCACGGTACTGCATGACACAGGTGCACTCATTTACATGGAGGCAACACACTGATACACATGAAATAAAAATAATGAAAAAATTCAACATCTTTAGCCATTAGGGAAATGCAAATTTAAACTACCCCAGTCAGAATGGCTAAGATCGAAAAAAGTCCCAGCACCCATGGCAGCTATGAACCATCCTTAACTCCAGTCCCAGGGGAATCCAAAGCTGTCTTCTGAACTCCACGGTACTGCATGACACAGGTGCACTCATTTACATGGAGGCAACACACTGATACACATGAAATAAAAATAATGAAAAAATTCAACATCTTTAGCCATTAGGGAAATGCAAATTTAAACTACCCCAGTCAGAATGGCTAAGATCGAAAAAAGAATGTTGACAAGTGCTGGTGAGGATTTGGGAAAAGGGGAATACTTATTCACTGCTGGTGTGAGTGCAAATTGGTGTTGCCACTATGTAAATCATTGTGGAGGTTCCCCAAGAAGCTGAAAATAATTGCCATCTGTTGCACAAGGAAACTTCTCTTGTAAGAGTTGTGATATGCATAAATCTATGGGTACAACAATAAGTCATTAGTCAGTTTAATATAATAACTATTTAGTAAAAAACAAGTATTAGGCTCCATCTTATGTCCTGTGACCTGTATAAGTTCAGGTTCCTAAGCCTAATATCAGTGTCATATATGGGCTCCATCCTAGAAAGCAAACCTTAAATTCAATTGAAGAGTGGTTGGTTACTCCAATATTTGTGCCACTATTGCACCATTGGACATATTTTGCCAGGCCAATTGTTATTGAAGTTCACAGGGTTCACAGCTGGGTAACGCTGATGATTTTTTTTCTTCCAGTAGCATGCATGGCACCCTCCAGTACTATGAACACTAACCACTGGAGATGAGGCTCTGAAATCAGCACTAGTTTCATTTCTCCTTGTTTGTTCTACAGCTCATGTATGTAGTATCTTCAGCAATGGGAAACATAAGAAAGCAGAGGCTTTCAGTCAATGGGAAGCTTGCACATGTGAACTTGTAGTAATGGTGGCATTGAGCACAGGACCCATGCCATCTCAATCAGACAAGGTCCCAGAGTGCAGCAAGGGAAATGAGTGATGGGTCAGCCCTAGTCTGGGAGCTATTAGAGACTAATAACTACTGGGTGAGGGAGAGTAGGTCTTATCAATGATCTCTTGATATAGGCTGACTAGATGCCAGGGGATGAATTGTACCCGAAGGACACCTGGGTACAAATGCTTGACTGGATAGAACTTAATATGTATGGTGAAATATACAAGGTGTGGGGGTCATCGATGGAGGAGGGGTCTAAATTTAATTAAGGACTGTTGTATGAAATGTACAAAAGCTCAATAACATTTTTCTTAAAAAATTACAATGCCAGGAATGGACTCCTTCCTTTGAATTCGTTGACCCAGAGGGTCCCATAGATTGCCAAACATTATGGTTACTGTCTGCTCTTGGTTACCTGTCAGAACTTGATGGTAAGACCTTCAAGCTATTACTGACTGTACAGCTTCATCTCTATTGGATTGCTTCTGTAGTGGTGGAAGGTGCTGAATGTGATACCAGAGGATAAAAGTGATCATCAGCCTTACCCATCAGTGAATCCTGAGAGCTACAGTAATGACTGGCCTGGCAAGGCATATCCAATAGTGGCATGAATATTATAGGAGCAACGAACCACTTTCTGCTTGTGTTTAGGATCTGCTTTACAAGATGGAGCCCATAATTGGCACTGTAATCAGGGTCAAGAACCTGTGATTAGACAAGGCACAGGCCACAGGGGAAACCTACTACTATAATTCTGCCAAGTGGACATAGTATTGAATGAACTCCTGATAACTTATTGTGATACCCATAGCTTAGTAGTACATCTCTCAACTCTCATTAGAGAACCTTTCTCTAACAGTAGATAGTAACTAACACAGAGATCCACAATTAGTCAACTTGCAAAGAAAAAGAGACTGCAGAGTGCTCAGCCCCAAATATCATACCCGCACCTCCAAAGACTCAAGGATCATTGTGGAAGAAGGTTCAGAAACATTGTAAGAACCAGAAGTCATGGATGAATACAAAGAAACCGTGTTTTCTGGACACAACAGGGTAGTTGCACACATCAACCCACAGCACTTGTGACAGCATGCACCAGACCTGGTCAGGCTGAAACCAGACAAAAATCTCAGTATTTTTGTGGGTGGTGGGCAAGAATCCCCAGCCTTAACTGAGGAAATATTGGCAATTGATAGCTGCTGAGAGATGGAGAGTCAGTTTTCATTAAGGATGAGGCACCAGGTGGCCAGGGAGCCATACCTAAACACATCTGTAGGCACAAATTAGACTCCATAGGCCTTAAAAACAAAAAACAACAAAAAAAGAACATGAAGTGTGAGGTGATAGTAAGGTGGGTGTGAACATGGGGTAGGGGGTGTGATATGATCACTGAATACACTGTAAATTCTCAAAGAATAAATTTTTTAAAAATGTCTAAAACTCTGTTACCCCTGAATCAAATACTGACTGGCTACTCATGACTGATTTTTCAGAGAACTGTAATTT